GTGTGTGTGTGTGTGTGTGTGTGTGTGTGTGTGTGTGTGTGTGTGTGTGTGTGTGTGTGTGTGTGTGTGTGTGTGTGTGTGTGTGTGTGTGTGTGTGTGTGTGTGTGTGTGTGTGTGTGTGTGTGTGTGTTTCCGATGGGGGGGTTGGAAGGATTCCGACGTTCTCGCCTGCTCGGGCTTTCCGATGCTACGCGATGGCCCAAGCGGCCCTCGACCTCGCCCCAGCGCGGCACGGCAGGCCCCCGAGGGGGGCCCCAGGCAGCCCAGGGACGGCCTCAAGACGGCCGGGAGAGGCGGAGGTGGAGGAGAGAGAGAGGAGGAGGAGGAGGAGGAGGAGGAGGAGGAGGAGGGAGGAGGAGGAGGAGGAGGAGGAGGAGGAGGAGGGGAGGAGGAGGAGAGGAGGAGGGAGGAGGAGGAGGCGGAGGAGGGGAGAGGAGGTAGGAGGAGGGAGGAGGAGGAGGAGGAGGAGGAGGAGGAGGAGGAGGGAGGAGGAGGAGGAGGAGGAGGAGGAGGAGGAGGAGGAGGAGGGAGGCGGAGGAGGAGGAGGAGGAGGAGGAGGAGGAGGAGGAGGAGGAGGAGGAGGAGGAGGAGGAGGAGGAGGAGGAGGAGGAGGAGGAGGAGGAGGAGGGAGGAGGAGGAGGAGGGGTAGGAGGAGGAGGAGGAGGAGGAGGAGGAGGAGAGGAGGAGGAGGAGGAGGAGGAGGAGGAGAAGGAGGGGAGGAGGAGGAGGAGGAGGAGAGAGGAGGAGGAGGAGGGAGGAGGAGGGGGAGGAGGAGGAAAGAGTCCAGAACGGCCCACGAAGCCCAAAGAGGGCCCCCAGAGCGCCCCACGGGGGGCCTCGGGCCGCGCCCCCGACGCTGCCCAGCGGAGCCCAGAGACGGCCGAAGAGGCGCCCAAGACGGCCCCAACGGCCCAGGAGGCCCCCACAAAAAAAAAAATGGAGAAGAAGAAGAAGAAACAAAAAAAAAAAAAAAAAACTGCCCAGGAGGCCTCCACGACGGCCCGGAGGAGTCCCGAGATGCCCACCAAGAGGGCCCACAGAACCAAGCATCCGTGATTTGCCGTGACGTTTTGAAGGATCTCGATGTTCTCGCCTTTGGGCGTTCGATGCTACACGATGGCCCAAAGCGGCCCTCGGTATCGCCCCAAGGAGGCCCAACAGGCCCTCAGGAGGGCCCCACATGCCCCCATGCAGCCCAAGACGGCCTCAGGGCGGTTCAAGAGTGACCCCAAACGGACCATACCGGCCCCAAGAGGGCCCCAAGGGGGGGAAGTGGCACTAGCATGTCGCACCCTCCGCCCCAAGACGACCCCCGAGACCGCAAGCAGATCCCAAGGAAGCCCTCTCTCTCATCTTCTTGACCGTTGCTTCCCTTCCCGCTCCTTGCTCCTGAACCCTTGCTGATCGCTCCTCGCGTCCTTCCCTCCCTCGACCCTGACTCCTCGCTCCTCGTTCCTCGGTCCACTCACGGACTCCAGGTTGCGTCAGCTGGCACGGGTCTCCCAAAAAACAGTATGCAGCCTCGAGGGGCAACAGCGAGCAGCAGCAGTCCGCGGCAAGCAGCGGCAACACACAACCAAAGTCCGCAGAAACAGCAGCATGCCGCATGCAGTACCACCCTGCAGCTGCAGGGAGCAACAGCAGAGGCGAAGTTCGGGCCCAACGTTCTCGCGAAAGACTTTCGGCAACATCTCTGCCCTGGTCCCACGTGTCATCTCGGACAGATGTCGTGGCCAGTAGGCCACGGGTCAGCCTTAGTCAGCTACAGCGCTGGCATCACCGCGTGCGAGAAGGGCGTACAGTGGCAGCGGGCGCTGGCACTGCTTAGCGAGATGCGGGATGCGAAGCTAGAGCCCAACGTCGTCACATATAGCTCGTGGATCAGCGCGTGCGAGCAGGGCGAGCACTGGCAGCGGGCGCTGGCGCTCTTGAGCGAGATGAAGGAGGTGAAGCTGGAGCCCGACGTCATCAGCTACAGCGCTGGGGTCAGCGCGTGTGAGAAGGGTGGGCAGTGGCAACAGGCGCTGAGCATTCTCAGAACCATGCGTCTGAGAAAGTTGGAAATTGGCTTCACGGCCTACGGAACCGCAGCCAGCATGTGCGAGCAAGGCGGGCAATGGAGCCAAGCGCTGTTTTTATTGAGGGAGGTGCGTGACCTAGTTACCGGGGAATGATACAATGCATGCCGTGTTCGATACATTTCTTTGGGTTCAGTTGCAGCGCTTGGACCAGCTCGTGGGAGATGGGCGAGCAATGGCCGACGGCTGTGGCGCTGTTGAGCGAGGTGTGGGAGGCGAAGCAGCTGGAGCCCGAAGCCGTCTATGATCCAGAGTTGCACCCCCCCCCCCTCCTCCTCCCCCCTCTCCTCCTCCTCCTCTCCTCCTCCTCCTCCTCCTCCTCCTCCTCCTCCTCCTCCTCCTCATCCTCCTCCTCCTCCCTCCTCCTCCTCCTCCTCGTCCTCCTCGTCTCCTCCTCCTCCTCCTCCTCCTCTCCTCCTCCTCCTCGTCCTCCTCGTCTCCTCGTCCTCCTCCTCCTCCTCCTCCTCCTCCTCCTCCTCCTCCTCCTCCTCGTCCTCCTCCTCATCCTCCTCCTCCTCCTCCTCCTCCTCCTCCTCTTCGTCCTCCTCGTCCTCCTCGTCCTCCTACCCCCGATGCATGTGGGATCGGGCCCCCCCTCCCTCCCTGGACGTGTACGTCCGTGAGCCTGCGAAGGCCTCGCGACGGGGGTCGCTCCCCCCCCTACCCTGTGGTCGTGGCCCTGTGGGCGCGGCGTGGTGGCAGGTGCTGGTACTCCCTCCCTCCCCCACTGCGGGTGTGGGGTGGTTCGTCGTCATCGTAAGTCGTCGTCGTATGTCGTCGTCGTCGTCGTCGCCGTCGTCGCCGCCGCCGTCGCCGCCGTCGTCGTCGTCGTCGTCGTCGCCGTCGTCTTCGTCGTCGTCGTGGTCGTCATCTTCCGTCGTCATCGGCGTCGGTATCGGCATCTGCGTCGTCGTCATTTGCGTCGTCGTCGCCGTCGTCGGCGTCGGCGTCGGCGTCTGCGTCGTCGTCGTCGTCGTCGCCGTCTCCGCCCCCTCCCCATCCGGTCCAGCGAGCCCAACACGTAGCAACGAAAGTGTCACGAGTTCCGGAGTTGAGAGACTGCGGATGAGGAATAACTCGGGTCTCAAGTGCAACCTCTTCCGGACAAGCTGCCAGCAGAGAGGACCCAGTTCAAGAGGACCAAGGACTTGCAATGACCAGATGCATGTGTCACGGAATACCCCACGGAGGTGGTGAACATGCCAAGTGACCAGGAAAATCGTATGCACGAAGTGATCCAGACCTGGTTCGCATTGAGTTGGCAGGCGCGTCTTGCCTTTGGACGGCCTCCAGGCCAGTTGGTGGGCCAGCCAGCCAGCCACTCAGTCCGTCGTCATCGGCTTCCGCGGTGAGTTGATCTTGCTCATGCAGTCTGCCCCTGGCTCTTACTGCCCACCGCGCCGCCAGCAGATCCCAGCAGCACGGCACTAGGGCAACACGCTGGAGGACAGCCTCGGGGCACCCACATCCAGGAGTGCGCTGCACGATTGGTGCCATTTGCACGGCGTTGAGGAGCACTATGGGCTGCCGCGGTGCGACGCTGAGCAACACGACGAGCACCAACAGCACGACGCTGGCAGCACGACGACGAGCAGCACCGCAGACTCAGCGTGCTGCCCAGATCCGCCACGCCGCCTCCGACTCCGGCTCCGACTCCGGCACCTACCCCAACTCCGACCCCAGCTTTAGGTCGGGCGTGTCCCTCTACACGAGGAACCGTCAGAAATAGTCATCAAATAGTCGGGGGATCATTTTCCGATCATTCTGCGAGTATGTTTTGAACATATTTTGGGGGTATTGCTTATTTTTCGTCCCACATCCGCCTGCAGGGGGACACGCCCGACCTAACCCCAGCTCTGTCGCCATCTCCTCAACCAACTCCGTTCGCAGCTCCGGGTACGGCTCCGACGCCGTCTCCGACTCCAGCCCCGAGGCCAGCTTGCTCCGTGAGTCCTGACATCGACCCCGACGGCGACTCCAGCGCCCAGACTGGCGGCAGCTCCCAAATCCGTCATTGCCACTGCCACGGCTAGCAGCTCCACTCCCATGACCACGATAATCATCACCAACGCAACCTCCATGAGC